TCTCCTGGAGAACCTCGTGAGCTGTCATACTCTTCTAATCGTACCGTGTCTGTCCACTACAGTCAGTGCTTATCTTAAAAACAAAATTAAACATGCCCCAAACTATATATAAAAACTAGATAGATAGATAGATAGATAGATAGATAGATAGATAGATAGATAGATATTCAAAACCACTTAAAATGTCGAAGGAAAAAAGAGGAAGAGCTTGTTAAATTGTTTTATTTCAGTTGTGGCATTTATTTTTTAGTTTAGTGAATCAAGACCACATGCTGATTAGTCTTCATGCACAAATGAACTTGCTTACTAGAAATACTGCTGCCTTTCCAGCTTTTCCTGTTTGAGTGGCGGCTTCGGGAAAGCACTCCTCAGTGGGTGGATGGCCACACATTGCGGGGCCCGTGAGGAGCTGCTGAGTCAAACAGGCTTTGTGGCCAGTTAGTTATAAGAATGAATTGTGTGTACATTCCAGTAGCAGAGTCAGGTAGGAACACTAAAATTCCTGTTAAGAAATTTGATCTTTGGCATCCTTTTATACAAAAAAGTTAGTTAATAAATTCTAAAAAGTAAAGCCTCCTGTTTTAAAATGTATCAAAAAGCATAATAGAAAATATTATATAGGTCATTTTATTATAAATGTAACAGGAAGGATAAGGAATAAATGATAATCAGAAAAGCAGTTTCAAAATTCTTTTTTTTTTTTTTAGTTTCAAAATTCTAAATAATTCTTGGTAGAATAGAAAAAATAATCCACTAAAAGTTACTGACATTTATTCTTAAATAAATTTTGCTTCTAAGTGACATAATTTTATTATTTGAAAGACTCCTTGCTGTAATGAACCTGTCTCTGTTTCTGTTAGGTATTGTCATTTTCCACTTTGTCATCACATAGTTACTGATTTTTTTAATAGAGTATATTTGTATTTTACTTACTTTCCATTAGCCTATTTCCTTTAGCTTTTGTCACTTTGGGCTGCTATAATGAAAAAGTTGTAGATTAGGTGATTTAAGCAACGAACTTACTGTTCAGAGTTCTGATGCCAAGAATATTCAAGGTCAAGGAGTTGGGCTGAGGATAGTTCAGTTAGTAGAGTGTTTCTGTGGTAGTCATGAAGCAAGTTCAATCTGTTTAGCACCCAGTTATCCTGACATGGTGGCACACACCTAAAACCCCAGGAGGTGGAGGCCAGAGGATCCTAAATTCAAACTCATCTTTAGCTCTATAGCAAGCTTGAAGCTAATCTGAGCCATGAAGACCCTATCTCAAAAAATAAAATAGCCGAAAATCCAAGCAGCCTTGTTATTCATTTCCCTTCTCAGTGGGCAGATACTAGTCATTTGCCCACTCACAAAGGCACAGGAGAGCAGTTTTCTCTCCGTGCCTTTTTTTCTTAAGACAGCAAACAATTCAGGAAAGCTCTATCCTCCAGAAAGATTCCATCTTCAAATAATTTTGCATTGGGGATTTGGTTTCATCATAGGAATTCTGTGGAGACACCCAAAGCACATGCTAATAGTAGGAGCGTGCAGAGAGAATATTGCCTACAAGTGTAGCTTCCCTGTTAGACTGCAGACTAGACTGTCATGCATTACAAAGAACCTCATCCCATATGTGTGGCCCAGTTTGGAAACTTGGAAAAAAATCATTGTCTATATTTTCAGTCACTGCATGTTTGATCCAGTAAGGATGACACAATATGGCTTTCAGGGAAGATAACAGATTAAAGTCTTATTTTCTTTGAGCTTTCATTGGTACTTGACATTTGGTGAAGAGAACATTCTATTTGTTCCAGTTTAGAGGACTGATACACAGAACAATTTTCCAGAAAATTATTTCTCAATTTAGTTATAAGATTGTGAGCCGTGGTGAATTCCAAGGAGAGAACAGGGATCTTTATGCACTTTGTTCACTGGCAAATCCAACCGCCTAGAGAGAGCCTGTGCCCCTGCGAGTGCTTGGTAAGTGACAGGTCAAAGGAGGGGTTTCATTCGCACCACCCTCAGATTAACAGTTCTCCTCTCTTGTCCCCTGGCTGGCCTTTGATGTCTCCTAAGAAACAGCACAGTTGTTTGTTGGAGTAGTTCTTCCTTCTCTACATGTGTCTTTCTCTCTCGAAACATGAAGATTGCTCCAGCTCCTTGATGAAGATGCCGTGTGCCTTTGAAGCACGTCCCTCTGTCCTTGGCCCCTCTGCTCTCACACATGTCAGATGTCTATACTGTGCAGTACACTAACCTTTGTCTTTAAAGGCAAAGTGGAAAGGACTTATCCCAGAATCTCTTGTTTTGTAAAGGATTTAAAAAATCGTGTGCCCAACTTCTCCATTTTAGGGTTAAGAAAACTGCAACCCCCAGAGCTCATAGCTCAAGGCCATCCACTAATGAGTGACGCTGCAAATACTAGCACCAAGCTCTTGATTCACACGCAGAAACATTAAAAATAACTTTTCCCAGGGATTTGATGCCCTACTTAAATTGAATACTAAAATGAAAAAAAAAAAAAAAAAAAACAATCCGCCTCAGATAGAAAGAATAAGCTTATTTTCAGAACTAAGGAGTTTTTGAAGACCGTGTTTGTCCTAAATTACAAACTCAGAGAATACCAACATATCTATTAACACGTGCAACTAATATTTCTGAAAGATAATCTCTGGCCTCAATCAGTGTTGTATCAGAATTTAAATTGACTTCCTACTAGTGAAGTCCAGGTGCTAGCGTGGCCGTCTCTCACCTGGCCCAGTGCAGACATTGGTGCTCCCGTGCTGTGTTTACCTTATGTAGCTTAGCATTATAGTTAGGACATAGATGGCATCTACCTATGTTATAGTCAGGTCTGAGCTGAACATTTAGAATTTATTCTTGCACCAAAGCATTCTTTATAATTTAGGTAGAAATATTTTAAAATGTAAATTAGCTAGATCTTTATGTCCTGTGTGCTCTGAGGAGATACTCAGCTTTGTAATATCCTCCCATCCGCATCCTCTGCCTTCCTCCCTCCCTCTTTCCCATCCTTCCTTCTTTTACCAAAACACAAAGTGAATTTTTGGAGGACTGCATATGAGGAAATTAACTGTCTAAACCAGAATTTGTCTCTCCCAATGTAAGACATTACAATGACGTGTACTTCCAAAGCCAGCCTACAGTGACGCCAGTCCCCCCAGCAGCCTCAGTAACTTCTGTAAGGTGGAAAAGTACAGCCTCGTCCAAATACAGTGATTCATAATTCAGTCTATTAGAGATCAAATAATCCGTGAAATTAACGCTGTGGCATCTTTTTACATTAGGTTAATATGCCAGTCTCAGGTACTGTTTCAAACAAGGCGCTTAATAGTTATTTATTGCAGCATTTGGTAGTGAGTGGTATTTTCCACAGTTTTGACCTATACTCCATTTTCAAGTGATTTTATCATAGTAGGAAATACTAATAAGCTACTTTTACTTATCCATCTTTTAGTAAGTTGATATTATACCTTGGATTTGTGAATACATCATGAAGCATCACTTTGTAAAGAAACACAACGATTATGAAAGTAATAATACAGTATCTGATTGTTATATTTAGAATTAAATCCAGAATTTAAAATTTTAATTGTGTAAGTAAAATTGGACGACTCAGAAAAGAAAGAGAACAGGGCCAGGATATTGGAATAAGCTTCTAGCTGGCAATAATATATCATTTACTTACCAATTCACTTTAGAATAGCTTCTCCAGTGAAGAAGAAAGTTAGCTCTGGTCACATCTCTGAAGCCTACGGCTTCGCTTTCAAGTCTGTGAAAACAGGCATCTGCTTGAGTTTCAGCAGCTGGAGGCAGCTGTTACCCCCACAGCTCACTAGTCTGCCCAATAAAATGACCTCCTGTGAGCACAGTGGCACAAAGAGCAAGCTGCCTGTCCACCGCGACCTTCATTTCATTAGCTTCTTACACTACAGAGCAGAACACAGAAACAAATCTGCATGGCAGAAATTTCTTGAGATTTTATTGCTGCGGACCAACATTCTTAATTATAAAAGACATAAATTCAGTGCTCAGTTATGTAAAATGTTATAAACTGAATATGCAAAACTTTATCTACTTGCTACTTATTAAGTTGATTCTCAGTATATATTAAACTAATCTTAATATTTTAATTACTATGCAGTCCATTAAAATAAATACTTATTTTATATGTAAAGAATCTTATATATAAGTAATTATACTAACATATAAATAAGCAAAATTATAATTCTGCTGGCTATTAAAAAGTATAATAAAATAGAAATTTTGAATAATTTCATGACATTTTAGATATGAGCACCCAAGTAGTCAGGTTTTGGACACTCACCAAATAGGCTCTGGCTACAAGGACACTCCCAGATACTCAGGTACTACTAAAGGATTTAACCCAATTTAGAGGAACCCTTGATTCGTCCAGCAACATAAATTAATGTGACTTTTAAAAGAAGACTATATAATACAATCAAAACATGTAAAGAAGTTTTACCTTTGAAATTTATTGTTAAACTTATAATAAACTCAGAATGGGAAAAGACCAACAAAGTATTTTTGACTATAGACTACCCCTAGAAAGCAAAGTTCTTTGCAGTCTTATGTAGAGCAGAATTAGATGGGTGAAATTTGATAACTTTAAAATTATTAGTGAAAACCGATAATAAGTATTTATAATTTATTCAAAAGTATACACACAGAACCTATCTTGTAAAATAAAATAACCACCAAGCCTCCTTTTCAGACATTTACTGGGATTAATTTACCTGTTTCTTTATCTTGTCTTTGGCAGTTAGATATCATTATTTTAAAAATCATATTTTTAGTTGCTGCAGTTAGTCATGTTTGGTGCTTTCACATTTCCTGTGGGAAGTTCCCAGGTGTCAGGGTGAATCTCCTCCAGGAGCTTTTACTGAAAACAGCCACGTAGGAGAATGATTGATGTATGATTTGTTTTTAGATTTGTGTTTTACATTGTTCTGATTTTTGGTTTGTTTGTTTGTCTTCAATAGCCCTTTATGTCACCTCGGTACCCTGGAGGCCCAAGGCCCCCATTGAGGATACCTAATCAGGTAAGATTTACATGCTACTTCAAATTTAAAGAGTTTGAAAATATCACAAGTGTTTCTTTTTATATAAAAATCTAACATCATCTGTTATCCCCACTGATAGCTGCTTCTGGGAATTGTAATCTCCTTGAAGGTTACATAGGCAGCCTTTGCGCTGACTGACTTTTTGTTAAGTTTTGTTGGAACACAGAAACACATGTATCCTCATGCTTTATCCGTGACTATTTACACAGCTTTAGGAGGCATGTTGTATGTAGCTTGCAACGCTGCAAGGTTTACTACCTCCGTATCTCCAGAAAATGATTGACTCACTTGTGGAGCTATCTTCAGTAACTGTTGATCATCCTCTAGGTGAAATTTGCTGTAATTACTTTAGTTTCTTTTCGTGTGCTGGAAAATTCATATACATGTGCCTTGTCACAATGGCATGTCAGATAGGGGATTACATGCTTCCTGAAGACAAAGGCTAAATATTAAACAATGCAGGTTTCAGTTTTCAATTCCAAGAGTTTTAAATTCTAAGTATTTCATTTTCATGTTGTTTTTAACAAATATAAGTTATTTACTAAAGGGGATAAAGCACCTATTTATTTGTCAAGAGTTTATAGTTATCATACTAAAATCTGTGCACCCAAAAAAAGCTAAACAAGGAGGAGGACCCTAGTAAGATGATCAGTCCTCACTCAGAAAGGCAAACAGGAAGGACATAGGAAGAGGGAAAAAACAGGACAGGAGCCTACCCAGAGGGCCTCTGAAAGACTCTACCTAGCAGTGTATCAAAGCAGTGGCTGAGACTCATAGCCAAACCTTGGACAGAGTGTAGGGAATCTTATGAAAGAAAGGAGAGTTAGAAAGACCTGGAGGGGACAGGAACTCCACAAAGAGAGAGAAAGAAAAAAAATCTGGGCTCAGGGTCTTTACTCCAACGAAGGATCATGCATGTAGATAACCTAGAACCCCTGAGCCCTGGCAGCTCAGTCTCCAAATGGGTTCCCTAGTAATGGGAACAGAGGGTGTCTCTGACATGAACTCAGTGGCTGGCTCTTTGTTCACCTTCCCCTGAGTGGGGAACAGCTTTACCAGGCCTCAGAGGAAGACAATGCAGCCAGTCCTGATGAGACCTGGTAGGCTAGGGTCAGATGGAAGGGGAGAAGGACCTCCCCTATCAGTGGACTGGGGAAGGGGCATGGGTATAGAAGAGGGAGGAAGGGTAGGATTGGGAAGGGACGAGGGAGGGGGCTACAGCTGGGATACAAAGTGAATAAATTGTAATTAATAAAAAAATAAATTTAAAAAAGTTCATAGTTTTGTTTTGGATGTGGGTAGTGTGCATATTTGTAGTACAATAAAAAATTAAATGATTAACAGTGTGTCAGTTGCTCAGTCATGTGAAGACTGTAGTTTTCTAAAATGAAGTAAAATCATTTTAAATTCCCTTTTCCATTTTTGCTCTTTATTTGTGCATTTTTTTCACCTTGAAAAACAGAACAAGAAGGTTGCAGTTATTAATTCACTTGTCCCAACAAAATTTTGGCTCTTATCCATTCATACTGAAATTACGCTGAGCCAGGCATCGTGGTGCATACCTATAATCCCGGCACTTAGGACTTTGAGGTCTAAACAGCGAGTTCCATAGCAACCACAGCTATGTAGATAGACCTTCTCTCAAAAACAGGGGAAAGAATAGAGGGAGGGAGGGAAGAAAGGCAGGAAAAGAAATGAAGGAAGGAAGAAAGGAATAGAGAGAGAAAGAGAAATTATGCTGTGGCTGCTTCAGGGAGGTCCAGCACCCGGGCTTGCCTCCAGATGGGGCCTGTGGAATGCTTCAGTGCCTAGCAGTCTTCACGTCAGCAGCTGGAGTTTTTCATTTGCAGACAGAATGTGCATTCAGTTTCATGGATCAGAAAACACGCCATGAAAGAAGATAGAGAAGTGCACAGATGCCAAGAGCGCCAACATGTGGGGATCTTGCTTTTCTCTGTAGATGAACCTGGGTGTGTCAACATTTACTCATGTAGGAGTCTGAGTCTTTTAATTTTCATTTTTAAGAATAAAATCTTATACTGTCTGTTGGTTTAAATGTTTCAAATATTCCACCCAGATAGATAGATAGATAGATAGATAGATAGATAGATAGATAGATAGATATAGAGATAGATATAGAGATAGAGATAGATATAAGAGAGTCCTGAAAATCTGAATTAGGAAACTGTGAATCCTAGTATAAATATATTATTAAAATACCTTTATTCTGAATTAGGAAACTGAGATCCTAGTATAAATATATTATTAAAATGCCTTTATTCTGTAGAAATGATGACACAATGATGCATTTGTTAGAATTATATTCATTGATGCCATTTCAGTGTCATGTATAAGATACTATGGGACAAGCCTGAGGACAATGGTTGAATTCCCAGAACCCATCTAAAAGCTGGATTTAGTGGTGGACAGGATTAGCCTGGCCCTGACACTCTAGAGACAGAGATATGGGAATCTTCAAAGCAAGCTGACTGGCTAAACTAGTCCAGTCAGTTAGCTAGCTCTACATTCAGTGAGGGGCTTACCTCGGTGAGAAAGGCGCAGAGCAATCAAAGAAGACACCTGGCCTCGACCTCTGTCCTCAGTACATATGTGCGCACATGTGCCGTTACACACATGAACTTATGTCACGATATGCATACACAGATGCTATGAATGAATACAGAAGATCCTGTGTTAAGTCTCATAATCTATAGAATTAACAAAATACAATACAAACTGAAGCAATCTGTATTTACAGAGATTGTTTAAATACTTTTTGACAAAATGTCACCAAATAGCCCCAGTTGACTTCAACTTCCTCCTGCCTCAGCCTCCTGAGCGCTCAGGTTAAGGTGGAGTCTGATATTTGAAAGCTTGAAAAAATAACCATGTAATGACTTTTATTAAAGAAGTAATCAGAAATAGAATATAATACTTACTGTAAGGGTGTTCTCCTCTAGAATCTGGCAACATTCATGTTGATACATTTTTAGACATTACTTTCTTTTACAAGTGGCTCCTCCTGCTGCCATACACACTAAATTATGTCCAGACATGTATTGCCCAAACTTAGAGTAACTTTCATTTACACTATTTTTCAACTAATCATACCAAAAACTAAACAATTCAAAACCAAAATTATGATATGTTTAATATATTTAGGAGCATGAACTCTTCAAGCAAACATCAGTTTTCAAGTTGGCTATTCTTAGTTAAAGCAGAATTGGCATAACTTTTTGTTGACAAATTGTAATGATGCCTATTGAGCAAATATATTAACATGTTATACTTATGTTTCATTTAAGTTGATTGTAATATAATGAAACATTTTCTTGTTAGTAGATCACACAAAGTAGAAACAAATAGTGAAGCATCCCCATTCAGTGGTTCTGGTGGTTGCCCTGCATGTGTGAAAGGCGCTCTTTAATGAGCAGGACTGCTACAACTTATGTTACTAGTTGTAAGGTTACGTATTTAAGTTTTCCTGAAGTATTTTATGGTTCTGCATTAAATATACAATGTCTTCTACTATTGGTTTATTAATAGCATTGAGTATTTGGAATAAGCCATGCTGCTACTGTGTTGGAAAGCACAGAAGTAGGCACTTGTGTCTAAAATGATGAACGTCAGGTAACAAAAGTATACAATGGAGTAGAAAATAAATGTGTGTGAAGAGAGTCATGAAACAAAAATTACGTCCACAAGTGTACATCGCTCAGTTTTAGCTGGACCGACTCAGCTCTCAGACGGTGCCCCCTCAGTCACTGAAACATCCTTAACCTGAAGTGACACAACTCTTTATATTTCTCATGGATGAACTGAAGAGCCAGCACTGTTATGAAATCAAAGTAGTGCGGAGACTGTGTATGCATGAGGGACAGCAAGAATAAGCTAATGTCCGTAGACCCTGGGACTGCTTTAATCCTCGCCATTCTTAAAACAGATGTGGGAGTTGAGATGACTTGCACGAGACGCTATTGTCCACTTTATATGCCATGGTTAAATGTGATACTCTAAAAACAGAAAGTATCTGAACATAGTATCCAAGTCCTCAGGAATTCCTGTGGATTATCAGATGAGCACTTGAAGAAAGTATGATGCAAATAGTGAAATCATATACATATATTAAGAGATACGATGTAGAATGAATCTACTGGAGTGCTGCTATGACTACTAACCAATGTAAGGAAGAAGGCATAAATTATGTAAACACATCATTGCAGCCTCATTTTTTTTACAAGCTCTTTGTCCCCGTCACATATACTCATATTGTGAAAAGAGATCATGGACCATATACTTTATTTCTGAGTTGTCGGGTTATGAGTGATTTTTTTATTGTTTTATTTTATTTTTATAAATTACAGTTTATTCACTTTATATCCCAGCTGTAGCCCCTCCCCCCATTCCCTCCCAGTCCTACCCTCCCTCCCTCTTCTTCACCAATGCCCCTCCCCCAGTCCAATGATAGGGTAGGTCCTCCTCCCCTTCCATCTGATCCTAGTCTATCAGGTCTCATCAGGACTGGCTACATTGTCTTCCTCTGTGGACTGGTAAGGCTGCTCCCCCCTCAGGTGGAGGTGATCAGAGAGCTAGCCCCTGAGTTCATGTCAGAGACAGTCCCTGTTTCTATTATTGGGGAACCCTCTTGGACACTGAGCTGCCATGGGCTACTTCTGTACAGGGGTTCTAAGTTTATCTCCTGGCATGGTCCTTGTGTGGAGTATCAGTCTCAAAAAAGACCCCTGTGCCCAGATTTTTTGGTTCTGTTGCTCTCCTTGTGGAGCTCCTGTTCCCTCCAGGTCTTTCCCCCTTCTTTCATAAGATTCCCTGTACTCTGCAAAAAGTTTGACTATGAATCTCATGAAATTTGCAGGCAAATAGTGGGATCTAGAAATGATCATCCTGAGTGAGGTATCCCAGAAGCAGAAAGACACACGTTATATACTCACTGATAAGTGGATATTAGACATATAATATAG